TGACATCAGACATCTAAAAGAGTGCCCAAGGACTTAGGAGGAAAATGACAGGAGGGTGTCAGTGTTTGGAGATAGCATGCCATTAATACTGTCATGACATGAAGTAAGGTCAAGAATGAAAAATGTCCCCTGCATTTGTCAACTCATACCTCTTTGGTATCTCAGCAAGAGCAATCTTGATGGCATGTTGGGGGCATACCCTACACCAGGATGGAAGAAGTGTTCCTAGGAAATGAGTAAACGGAGGTGGCAGCGGTACGATTCCCGAGAAGTTTGACTCTGAAGGTGAGTAGAGAAACATGGTGGTGCCTTAAGAAGAAAGTGGGGCCCTGGGAGGTTTTTTTCACATGGTGGATATTGAAGCCTGTTAGTGGTGGAGAGTATGAAGGAGAAAGAGAGAGGTTGATGATGCCACCTATAGATGGTGGAAAGAGCTCCCCAAAAAGGTAAGAGGTGTTGGGCTACAAAGTCAACATACATTTCAGGTTTTGAGAGAGGGAGAGACATTTTCTCCATTTTGTAAAGCGGAAAAAAGGGAAGTTGGATATATTGATCATGAGAAGGTGATGGACTCCCCATTAGATGTGTTTCATTTTCTCCATGGTGTGGAAGATGAGGTAATATGCTGACTCTGCAAAGAATGGAGGTACCATGATAGATAACGAGAAGAGAGGAAGAACAAAACTGTTATCCCAGTGGGGAAAGTGAAAGATGAATGTACTAGCAAGCACTGGCTACTGACTCTTTTTAAGTGTTAAAATTAATTCAATGGAATTTGCAAACTAAGATTTTTGCAAAATGTGGGTATAATAAAAATATAACCTATAAATTATTTTATAAAGCCTTAACCCTCAAATTATTAACAAACCCCTAAAGTGATTCTATCATCTGAAGTAGAAAGACAAATACTATCATTACTAATCTTTTGAAAAGGTTACTACTCAATGCTCTATTAGTTATTAATAGTTTTCCTGGAATGGTAATGGAATTTGTATATTCATTTTCTATTAATGGCAATGGTAAAGCAGTGTACTCTAATGAGTTTAGAAATTGCTCACCAACACTACCATTCTATGTACAGAATATTTCATAGAATTTCATATCAGAAATAAAACTTTTGATTGGGATATTTCCTGGTTTCTCTCCCAAACTCCCACCCCTAATTTCTTCCATTTTCATCAACCTACCTAACCACTACCTAACCCAGGCAGCCATGGCACCAGCAGGCATTGTTGCCATCCTAGGCTTCTTCACTCTATAACCTTCCAGCCTCCCGCCTGTCCGGCTCCCACTACCATCATCCTTGTTCTCCGCTTGCAGCTGCAGGCTATTTAAGTGTGGTAGGATACGTATTTTTTATATATATATATATATATATGTGTGTGTGTGTGTATAAATATGGTACTGTTTTCACTAATTGTCAAAATACATAATCTCAGCTAGTTTCTTGCATTTTCTCTGGTAGACCCCCACTTTTTCATAGCTGTTCCAAACTGAGATGGTTTGTCTTTTATTCTGAAAGACAACAGACCTGCTCATGTTTCTCTTCTCTGTTCCCAAATCCCTTTGTCATAGCCAGCTTCTCTCTCTTCCTAAGATCATGCTTCTCTCGAAGAGTTCTGTCTCAGTCCTCCATCAGTGTTTTTGATCTGCCCTATGTCAACTTTCACCAGAAACTCGCTCAACAAATGGACTGCCTGTGTATTCTCTTCCTGTCTTCCATTCTCTGGCCCTTCTTTATTTGTTGACAAATATGCCTCATTCTTCTTTTTTCCCCATTGTCCTGCTGTCCTCAACCCAAACTAATTTCTATTCACACACCCAACTTTCAATTTTACAGAAGTCTCTCCATCTTTTTAATATCACACATCTTGGGAAAAGTTGGTTTGTAAAATACAGCAATGTTGTCTGTATAATCTGTTACTTATTACACACTTAAAAATAAATTTGTATTCCCATCACCATAGAAACCACCATCTTAGCTTTGCTTCTCAAAACTTAATGTGCATACAAATCACATGGGATTGTAGTTAGAAACGTGGTTTTTGTTTAATAGCTGGGAGATGGAGCCTGAGAGTCTTCATGTCTGATAAGCTCCCAAGGGATGCTCCAGGATTGGTTCACGGACCAGAATTTGAAATGTAAAGAGCCAGTGGATCATCACCCAAAGTCTTGTTAATTTTTTTTTTTTAACAGGCTGTCATTTGAAGATTAAACCTAAAATCATGTCTACCTATTTTTATTTTCTCCCTCTTTAACTCATGGTTATTTGTGTTCCAAGTGCGTCTCTCCACACAATCCGTTCTCTTCAGTCATCTCCGTGGTGTCACATCCAATAGATTTTTCATCATCATCTCACTGGTTGCCTCTGCTGAATTCACAGACTACTCATACAATGAAACGGTACAACTGTGGCTTCTATGGAGGAAGAGATTCCCCTTATAGCATCACTGGGTAACAATTATGTTGTGGTTTCGAAAAAACCAAGTCATAAAAAGGTTTAAATATTTACCTCTTTCCATGTTGTTTGAGCCACAGGTCAACAAACTGAACACATGATTTAAAACCAAATTGTAAGGATATCCAGCCCCTATGCCCACAGCAGGTCAGAAATGATACATGACTTAATCATGCCCAATCAGAATTCTCTCTTAGACTTTCTTTCAGGCCTATTTAAAAAAAAAAAAAAAAAAAGGCATATACTCTGTGGCTGTTAATATGATAGAATGTGAGTTTTGCTCTGAGAACAGCCATCTCACCCACCATCTGTAGATCTGTTGTGAAAACAGATGACATTTGAATGCCTTCATTTCAGCTGCTGTGCTCAGGTGGCCAGGAGATAGCCCTAGATTGTACAGCTATATATACTTGTAATTCCTTTCTCTTTCTTTGATCTCTCTGTGGCTTGTGGTAATTTGTGCTGGGCTTCCTTCATATGCAACAAAAAGTTTTGACGATAATCCCTCATAAATAATCTCTTATCTATAGATTTTTATGAAAAAAAATAGCTGAGAAAATGACATGTCTACAATAGATAGAAAAATTTGGATATAAACAATCTTAGTAACTGTTTTTAAGTTTTATAAATTACCAATTTAACAATTGGGAAAATAATAAGTTAGCTCTGTTTTTATGGGGTTTTATGGTCTGCCAGATGAACTTTAACATCTATTTGTCACATTTTGAAAACCAAGGTTCTGAGTGCAATTGACATTTGTAAAATTTGTGGTTTATATATGGGTACTCAACACCAATATACAATGTAATTTTCCCATTCAGCAACATAATATGTCTGGTATCACATAAGCAGATTTAATGTGCAGAGTTTTTGTATGTATCTTGCACATTATGTGTGTGTTGCCATTTTTTTGCTATTGTGATTGTATTTTTCTACTGTTAAAATTTCTGCTGATATAAAGTATTATTATTAATTTCAATATATTCTTACAGACATTTGAATGAATCCTTTAACTTCTCATATTACTTTTTCAATTGATTATACTGATATATTTAGGCATTCAGTTATTTATTTATTCAATTATTGAGGACCAGTGGTGTGTTAGGTCATGTGCATGATGCTTGAGACAATTTACAATTTACAAATATAATTGTTAGGTTTTGAAGGGAAGCTGAGGGTTAAAAAAAAGACACACACACAGAAAGAGGGTGGCTCAACAGCAAATGCAGGCTTTGTATCCAGTATAAAACCTAAAGAAGTGGGAGACCAGCTTAATGCCAGAGCCCACCGCTGCTTACAGGCTGGGGGTGCTTATAGGTATGGGCGGGAGGGGTTTGGGCAGTATGGCTTGCTGCCCGGCGGGACATTGATAAGATGTTCCCACAATGAGGTGGTTCTGGTCCTTGTTCTGGCGGGATGTCATCGTGGTGTTCCTTGTATCTTTGCCCAGCAAGATTCATGATAGGGACGTTTCTTTAGTTGGGGCTTTGTCTGCCCTGTGATCAGGGCAGGATGTTTCTCATGGCCCGAACCCCCGTGAAATGTTTCACTTTGATCAAGGTCAGCACAATAGCGGGGAGCTTACATAAAGGTGCAGTTTGGACTCACATTCTTGCAAGGTTTGCAAAATTGCGGGGAGCTTACAAAATGGTGCAGTTTCGACCAACAGTAATGATTCCAGTATTTTGTTCATTTTATTAGTTTTTCTTTTTCTTTGTTGCTGCATTTTCTAAGTCTTGCAGAACGGTGTGTGGAATAGCAGAGATGTCAGGCACACGAGCCTTATCCCTGATTTAATGGAAATGCTCCCATGCTTCATGACCCAGAATGAGGCTTGCCATTTGATTGTGAGTTTTTAAAAGGTATTTTATTGAAACTTCTTTTTATTCTTGAGTATAGCTATTTTATTAATCTATCATGCATATTGAAAGAAGAGCATTTTCAAAAGGATGGTCTGCTTTGACTGAATAAAACCAGAAAAGGGCAGTGTTGTATCTACAAAAGAACTGTATGGGGATGATGCCAATCTCTCTGATATAACACCTGGAGCATTACAAACAGTCCTCACAACATCAAAAAAGACTTTTAAAATTTATTATTATTTTTATTATTATCTATGATTTTACATTATTTGTGCCAAAAGCATATTAAACTAATCCAAAAGGAAAGGTTTCTAAAGATCAGTCCCAATAGCACTAGCACCATCAGACAAAACAAAACTACTGTGAGCTAATATCTGCAACAATGTCTTCAAAACAGCAGCTGGGCCATCATGGCACAATCCTGTAATCCCAGTACTTTGGGAGGCCAAGGTGGGAGGATCCCTTGAATCCCTCCAGGAGTTCAAGGCCAACCTAGAAAACACAGCAACACCCCACCTCTACCAAAAAAAAAAAAAAAAATTCTTTCTTTCTTTTTTTTTTTTTATTAGTTGGGTGTAGTGGCATGCACCTATAATCCCAGCTACTCAGAAGGCTGAGGCAGGATAATCATTTGAGCTCAGGAGTTCAAGGTTACAGTGAGCTATGCATTCACTGCATAGTGTCACTGCACTCCAGCCTCAGTGATAGAGCAAGATTCTATTTCTAAAACTTAAAACAAAAAACAAGAAAAAAGGCAGCTGATTATGATTGAGCAGGCATCATCCATATCAAAGTCATTGAAGATGTGCATTACAATAGTAAAAATACAATAACTTCCCAGCAAATGGCAATAAACCTCTTGAGGAAATAAAGTCATTTTTTGAATTAACGCAAGGATACCACTGGGAGTGAGGATGGCACTGATCCTGCTATGCTTTTTGTGAGGCCATCTTCCCCATTAGTCTATAGCACCATAGACTATTTTATTCTACTTAATTTTGTAATTTAATAAAATCCCCATTTTTAACCTTGCTTATTGACTCATTTACTTGTTAGTGCTTTCTCGCCCAGTACAACAAATATTCCCTTAAGTCAGGAACCTGCCTTATTTGTTCACATCTACATATCAAGTATGTAACACAAATCCTGGCACATAGTAAATTCTCAATAAATATGTATGGAATAGACCAGAAAGCAATGATTAAATACCTTCTTTCTGACCCTTCTAATACATAGAAATACTTTGCAAATCACTGATATTTTGAAATGTACATTAAAACTACATTGGTACCCTCTCAATCTTCCCAGTTATAGTCAATAATTTAATTACACCATTTAAGATGACATGGAGGCTAACGAGTAAATTGTAGCCACTAAGCAAATGTGATAGATCAATATGGAACATGAATTGAAGAAAGATCTTTATGCAAAGTATTTTACAATGTTGATTGCATATTCTAACTCCATATACATTCTTTTTTTAACAGTAAGTTAATTATATTTCACTGACAGAGATAGTGAAGGTATTGTAAAACACAAAAATATAATATAGTGTATACTGTTGTTATATAAAATAACAACAAATGAAAATGAAATCAATTGCACTTTTTCATGCTAGTAGCCTGGTGTACTAAATTGTTCAAGGACAACCTAGCCAACTGATTTTATGTTTATTGTTGCAAGGTGACAATGACCTATGTTAGATATAAAGTATTTGCACACTTACAGGTATATTTACTTTATCTTATTGTCCACAATGTGGCTAAAAAATAAGAATACTTTTTGGTTTATATAACTAATTGATTAACGAATTTCATCATGGAATGACTATCACCATTTAAGTAGCTTTATATAGATGAAATACATAAACTAAGGAATTTTTATCCATAGCACTCATAGAAAACAATCGTGCTTTTGAGTAGAAATAATTTCTATGAGATATTCTGTAGCCATAAATTTAAATAAAACATATCTAAGACTTAGGAGAAAGAAAAGGAAATTATTTAAAATAACGTACTAATTATTTTTGGATGTCATATTTTTTGAAAAATCTTTTAAACACAAGTTGAGAATTTCAGTGTCTGTGTTGTTCTAAGTTTGCATTAGAATGTTTTCAAACTGCAGACTGTTATCCATTAGTGATTGTGAAATTATTTAAGTGTAGCATTACAATTTTTACAAATAAAAATGGAATTAAAACCTCAAAAAACATTACACATAATAAAAGTGTTTCATAAAAATTATTTTTATTTATGAGTATGTATTTACATATTTATATTTGCATATGTATACCTATACGCATATGGAAATATATGTGTAAAATATGTGCATGTATTTATTGGATTACCTTATAAAACAGGTCAGGCCAGGCGCGGTGGCTCACGCCTGTAATCCCAGCACTTTGGGAGGCCAAGGTGGGCAGATCACTTGAGGTTAGGAGTTTGAGACCAGCCCGGCCAACATGGTGAAACCCTGCCTCTACTAAAAATAAAACAGGTCATATTCAAGAAAGATTGAAAGTCATTGAAGGAAATGTTGTACCAAACATTAGAATACATAGGTGGCTATAACGTGCAACCAAAATGTATTTAGTTCTTAGTGTGTGAGGAGGATTTTACAAAGACTGTCAGCTAAAAACAACTTCATGGTGAAATGTAAGGAAAGATAATGTGATAAGCCATTTGATCTCCTTCAGCTCCTCCTCTCAGTTTCTGAGCGTTAAGGATGTATTTGAAGGCGAACACTCCTACTCTTTTACCCCACACATAAGTTCTAGTTAAGCACCAGGTTCCTAGTTGGGAGACAGATGACAACCTCTCCTGTTTTAAAGACACATGTCAAAGCTGCGTATCTGTAAATGACAACCTAATCAAAGCCCCTTTATGTTTCCTTTTAATGCTTACTTTAGGAGGAAAGACCTAGGTACCCTAAAACAAGCACAACTGTACTGTCCTACACAGGGTTTTTTTAACATAAGAAAGTAATAAAGAAATAATTGTTAAGTCCTCATCTGCTTTTTCACCAGTTGTTGGGCAGTTATTTATGTACAGTTCATCTTTGAACAATATGGGGGTTGGGGTGCTGACTTCCCCATCCACCACTCCTGTGGTCAAAACTTCACATATAACTTTTGACTCTCCCAAAATGTAACTACTAAGAGCCTATTATTGACTGGAAGCTTTACTAATAACATAAACAGTCAATTAAGACATGCCTTGTATGTTATATGAATGATACACTGTATTCTCACAATCAAGTAAGCTAGAGAAAAGAAAATATTAAGAAAATCACAAGGAAGATAAAATATATGCACTGTTTACTTAGTGAAAGTGGATCATCATAAGGGTTTTGGCCTCATCTTCACATCGACTGGGCTGAGGAGGTGGAGGAAGAGGAGGGGTTGGTCTTGTCTCAGGGGTGGCAGAGGCAGAAGATGTAGAGGAAGTGGAAGGGGAGGCAGGCACACTTGGTGTAATTTTTACTGAAAAAATCCACAAGGACCCTCATAGTTCAAACTCGTTTTGTTCAAGGGTCAAGTGTATATCGACTCTAAGTGGGGTCCTTTAGCAGCAAGTAATAGACCCTGGCTGTGTGAAGTCACACAGAGCAGGTACTGGGAGGATATGATATCAACAGTTCCTATTATTGGCAGCTGGTAGGAGAACGGGCTTCTAAAACTCAGCTATTTGGCATCAAGTTGGCCATCCTAGGTCACTGTGGTTGCCACTGTTTCTAAGGTGACATTGACTTTCCTCAATCATTCTCTGTTCCATAGTGGCTTCCTTTTCAGGCACGGGTCAGGTGATCAGAATCCATTTTCCAGTGGCATGACCCAAACCTTAGGTCCTCAGGGACATGTGCCCTTGCCTCTGCCATATAAGGTTGTAGTGGTTTCCCACTAACGATTTCACTAGTGCTGGTTGTAGGCTGGATAACCACAGGGGTTACCCCAATTTCACGCACATTCTTCCCTATCCCCATCACATGGCAGCGAATCCATCTTCCCTTGACAAGTACAATAAGATCATCCATTACCAGGATTCTGTTCAGCCAGTAGAAGGAGCCACCAGAAATGGCAAAGTAGAACAGATCTTTTCCCTCACTGGGAGTGACTGGCACGAGTAACCCCCTTGGATTTGAAATTGTCAAGAAATAGTTCTGACTGAGGTTGATCAGTAGAGCTAAATTGCCTAGTTCCATGACCTTGCCAGGAACCAAGTTTTGGGGGTGATGTGTCCGCAGTGTCGATAAGCCCAGTGATCACTCCTTCGACCATTTTACCTTCTTCCTGGAGTAACTTCAGGATTTGAACGCGTGTCATCCTGAGCCTTTCCTCCACGGGGTCCTCTTGTGAGTGGTGGGTGTCCAGGTGAGTGGTGGGTGAGGGGGTCATAGTGAAGTCCCTGTCTTGGCTAGCAACAGACACCGGCACATCTCACTGTCGGACAAAAGGAGAAGCAGCCACCATAAACCTTCCTCAAGCTTCCTGGCCCTTTCACATTGCTTGTGTGGCCTGAATTATCTCACATGTTTGTTTTCTTGGTTGCTCAGGTGAACTCCATGAAGGGAGGGATCCACAAAAGTGTCTGGTAGACTCTTTGCATGGCCCAAGTTCAATCTTGCAAGGGATAGTTTATGAATCAGGGACCCACCTGCAGGGTCATGAGCTTGGTCATAGCTGGAAGGTCATGTTGCAAAGCCATTGAACCCATCAAGGGAGGGCTGATATTCTTGGACTGGCTGGAGCTGTGGGGCTTTCCAAAAGAGTAGAGTACCCATATGCACTTTACTAGGTCTGCCCACAAAAGTGGATCTGACTATATAAATGTTAAAGAGCATTTATAAACTCAGTGAAATCGAGCATTACATAAATGCTGTTTCATCTCGGCACAGTTAAAACGCAGCTGCTGTGACATGTTTTAGGTATTGCATATGTACATACATATATATGTGCAAGTATGTTCATATTCATGTTTTTCACAAATTATCTTATTTCAAGATTAAGTTGGATGTGATATTATGACTTGTACATGACTATGTACTCACACATGCTTTCTAAAGTATGAATAAAATTAAATCATATTTTTCCCCTCTAAGTCAGTCAAAATGGGGAAATTATACTGAGTTAGCGGATATGTGCGAGGAAAAATAAACGTGTGTTATCATTAAGTAAGCAGAGCTTCGAGTTGTGCAGTTAGAGAAAAATTGAAGTGCAGAACTAAGCAAATAAATGGTGAATTCTGCCCAAGGAAACTGTCAATTTGCAAATCAGAATCATGATAACTGTCTAAAAATCTGTACACTTTTCATGAGCTGCAATAATTGCCTTCCTTCCTACTTTGAGTTATTTAGATAATTACTTCAACTTCTGATTTTATTTTGCTATCATGTAGACAAAATTTAGGCAAGAAAAATCCCAAAACACTGATCTTCCATAGTTAGGCTCCTCAATTGTAAACTCATATTTACAAACATGTTTTTATGTAATTGTATTTCTCTTTTTTAATCCTCAAAAAAATTAAAAGCATAATCACTAATATCTGCGTGTTTTGAGTGCTCATGCTTGTTTAGAATCAAAATTCAATGCCCAGAGTGGTGTGACTGTATCTTTGCAAGCTTCTGGTATACACACCCCGCACCTGATACTGAGAACCCAGAATTAACAGATTTTTTTCTTTCCTTTTTAAATATATGGCTTGTTCCTTTAGAGCACTGTTTAACTTCAAAACCAAATCTATTTTCTCTAATTGTCAATGGAAGGAGTTGGTTACCATAGTTACAAAGTAAAGCGTGTTATTGAAAAGAAGAAAAGGAAGACTAATGACATTTTTAATGACAGATTCCAAGATATAAGGAAATTGCCCCCACAGAGAATTGGGAATGTATCAAGCCGCCAATCACAGTAATTATCCTGCAAACATATCAGTATCTGGGTCAGAAAGTCCTTTCAGATTTTCTACATGCCAGTTCTACAATGCCTCAAAATTTTGATCCCACAAGTAAGGCAGATCCTGTTGTGAATGCCTGTTTTCAATGAGTATGGCTGCATGAGCACACACTCCAGCAAAGATAAGCAGAGTGTGCTTGGGAGCGTGCTCACAGGAGAATTGGTGCACCAGCCCCAGAGAGTGCCTAGTGTGTACCAAGTATGCGTTTCATTACACCGCTGTATTTCTCTCATGCAGGAAAGTTGCTGCAGACTGATATGTCAATGATCTTACAATATTTTTCAAGTACCATCACCTGGGTGATAAATTAATCTTTACGACAAATCCCCATGACAGAAGTTTACCTATAACAAACCTGCACACATACCCCTGAACTTAAAATAAAAGTTAGAAAGAAAAGTACCATCCACCCACAGGGTCAAATACATATATAGTCAATACCAGATACTTCAAAAAAGTCTTATACAATGAGATTTGGTTTTGCAGCTTAAATTTCTTCAATTTAAGGGTACATCAATAAAGAATTTATTGAAATACAGTGTATCATACAAACAGAATATTCACACAAAATGGTCAAACGAAGGGGTAAGGATAAAAGTATTAAAACTGAAAATTTACCTAGTGAATAAGTGGACATAACAATTGAGAATCTATCCACTTCATGTCACTTATGGAAACAACACATTAAGATTAAACCTCATGTTAGCTAGAGTAGGAGAAACTACATACTACAGGGACCATCATTATTCTAGAGTGGGTCTGTGCAGAACTCCTCAAAAAGAGCCCATCTTTGGTGTTTATGTGCTAAAAAATTGTGTATTTTACCTTCTGAGAACCATAAAATTGACTCAAAAATAGTTTCAAAGGGTAAAAGGAAAAATGCATGACAATTGAAGACATGGAATTAAATTGGTTCGTCTCTAACTGCCTCGTAGTAATCAAGGGTTCATACTTGGCAAAATCTCATAAAAACAGATTTAGGATTTAAGACAGTGTGAGTAAATTAGTACAAGCCCATACACAAGTCCTCAAAGTGATGGAGAACTACTCAGAAAGTAAAAGACCTGGGATCAGTATATGATTTAAAAATGAGAAGTGAATGATTATTCTGGATTTAATTCTTATTTACTAGGCTACCTGGTTCTTTGTGTTTAGTAGTATTTTATCTATTTACGTTCCCACAATAGATATATCCAATATATAGAACAATAGCTAAATACTCAGAGAGGTATGGCCTTGGAGAGAGAGAGAGAGAGAGAATGAATGACAACCAGCCTGATAATCTCCTAAACTGGCGGGGGGGTGGGGGGTGGTTTAGGGGAGGAAGATGAGAGGGGATAAGCCTCTTCAAAATCTCCTGGGTTTCTGGATATCTGCCCTTAACTGCACTGGGAGCAACTGCACACACCTGTGGAAAGCAAACTGCTATGGTTTGGCTGTGTCCCCACCCAAATCTCATGTTGAAGTGTAGCTCCCACAATTCCCACATGTTGTCGGGGGGACCCAGTGGGAGGTAATTAAATCATGGAGGCAGTTCTTTCCCATGCTATTTTCATGATAGTGAATAAGTCTCAAGAGATCTGGTGGTTTTATAAAGGGGAGTTTCCCTGCACAAGTTTTCTTCTCTTGTCTGCTGTCATGTGAGACATGCCTTTCACCTTCTACCATGATTGTGAGGCCTCCCCAGTTATGTGGAACTGTGAGTCCATTAAACCTCTTTCTTTTGTAAATTGCCCCGTCTCAGGTATGTCTTTCTCAGCAGTGTGAAAATGGACTAATACACAAACCTTTGTTCCTCCAGTCCTGATCAAAGGTCTTTAACCATGAGTCGCCTATTTCTCAAATCCTTCCTCTCCTACCCTGTGGCCTGGGTCAGCCTGAGAGCCTACTTCCTTCAGTTCCAGAGCTACAGGGATACAGCTAAGTCATGGAAACACCCATGCTTCATGTCAAGATCATGCCACACATTCTCCATGGCACCTAAGTGGTGGCCCTCCATTTTCCATGTTCCTCAATTTACCCAAAGAGCCTATCCTCCTCCATTTTTTAAAGGACATGACAATTCACCAAAAATGATTCCTTGTCACCTAAGTGTATCCTTCTTAATGACATTGTCAAATTCTAATAAAGTGCCTCTTACATCCTTGCACTATGTAATAATTCAAATATTAAAAATAAACACAAATATTACAAGGAGTAATAATATAATTGAGAGTCTTGATAGATTTTCTAAAAAGGATTTGATTAGAAACTTCCATCAAAAACTGTCTGAAACATGTTTTGCATTATAAGCTTTTAAGCATTTTATTCAAACCAATTTTCTTTAAGTAAAAACTTAATAGTGTCATCAAAACCACAATGATACAGAGATTCCATTTTCCTCTTGCTTGGGGGAAAAAGGGCTTGGCTGAGTCTCACCAGGTTTGCCAGGGACAACTAGAATAAAAAGACTGAAATTTAAGCTGTAGGATATTGCAGTACAGGAAAATATACACTATTTTTATAATCTAGGTTTTCTTATCACAGATACAATTAGCAGTAACAAAAAAATCAGTAGGAAAAATTTAAACTTCAGAAGTTACCTCCACTGATACAGTAAAGGAGGGTTTCTCAGCCTTGGTACTGCTGACATTTGGGGCCGCGACGTCTTAATTGTGTGATGGTCATGTGCACTGTAGGACGTTTAACACCATTCCTGGCCTCTACCCACCAGATGCCAGGAGCACAACTGGGACATGATAACCAAAAATGTCTGGGTACGATATCATCCCACGTGGAAAACTATTAGACTAGATTAAGGCAATCAGTATTTTTATGTCAATTATTCATTTGGGTCCCTAAGTTTTTCTTGACTATTTTTATATATTTCATTACTTCTATCTTTCTAAGCAAATAAATGATTTTATTTAAAATTGCTCTGGGCCAGGCGTGGTGGCTGAGGCCTGTAATCCCAGCACTTTGAGAGGCCAAGGCAGGCGGATCACTTGAGCCCAGGAGTTTGGGACCAGCCTAGGCAACACAGTGAGACTTTGTCTCTGCAAATCATTTTTTAAAAAGGTAGTCGGGTGTGGTGGCACGTGCCTGCAGTCCCAGGTACTTGGGAGGCTGAGGCGGCAAGATTACCTGGGCCTGGGTGGTCGAGGCTGCAGTGAGACATGATCTTGCCACTGTACTCCAGCCTAGGGGACAGAGCAACATCCTGTCTCAAAGAAGAAAAAAATTGCTCTGATATCCTACCAAGTTTATTGATGTGAAAAAGAAGTGACAGTTAATAAGCAGCAAAAACAGGCGGGCATGGTGTATGTCTGTAATCCTTTGGGAGGCCAAGATGGAAGAATCACTTGAGCCAGGGAGTTTGAGACCAGCCTGGGCAACCTAGTGAAACCCTGTCTCTACAAAAGATAAAAAAAAAAAAATTAGCCCCGCGAGATGGTGCACATCTATAGTCCCAGCTACATGGCAGGCTAAGGTAGGAGGGGTGCTAAAAATAAAATAAAAATAAATAAAAATAAAAGCAGTAAAAAGACTTAATGCTGACAGTCCATAAGAACCCAAGTTCCTATGCCTGATACATGTTGTAAAGTATTAAACAATACACTAAAGAGAAGATGCAACCCCTACCTACAATTATCAATGAGCTTCCAGTGCTTGGGAAACACGTTGAAATTTGTGGAAATTTTTAGTAGATCAGGACTCTTCATATATCACTGAACATAATTACTCACCATGATATCCTGCTTGGCGATATTAACATACAGATCCAGCTGCCCTTTGTCCTGCGGGGAGATGTCCAGTCGTCCACTGAAGGGGGAGATGGTCACAGTCCGGCCGACGGGCAGGATGGGAAGAGCGTTGGTGAGGCCTCCGTCCACCCACTTCTGTGGAAAGAAACATCTCACGTCAGCACGTGTCAAGAACACATCCCGCACAAAGAAAAGCAGATTCTAATAATATGTGTGCTTTGGATATGCTTTTAAATTGCTATTTTTGAGGACTAATCCCATTGGGGATCTGTTTTGGGCGTAAAACAAATCTTGGTACACATATCACTTACCAATCTAAGAACAACTCTGGACAGAATTTAACTAGATTATTGTCTGTAAGACTTGAATTCTTACTGGTTAGAGTGCATGCCTAAGAAGTCATGTGTAATTAGATTGGGGCTCATTATTCAATCAAACTAAAAAGTCAAATTTACCGTGGATGCTGAACTAAACATCCACCACCAGAGGAGGTTCCATTTTTATTATAAGAATTGGAAACTGGCATTTTCTGTGGCAAACTTAAAAAGTAAATACAGCAACTAGAAATGCTTCTAATTCCAAAGTGGTTCTTGTGCTCTTGAAGCAAGGGGCATGTCCTGAAGCCATAAGGAATGGGAATGCTGCATCAAAGCATACATTCCTCAGTAGGCACTCAGTGCTCTCAAGCCCACCTCAAAGGGGAGTAAGTGATGGAGAAGGTGGAGGACAGAAGCCTCCCAAGGAAGAAAATGAAACAGTCTTGGGGCAATGAGGACGGACAATGAGGTACTCAACGTGTGTGCAGCCTCAGCCCCTAGCTCTACAGAAGTGCACGATGAGGAATGGTGACAGAAGAATCACACAGACAATATTCCTTCTGCTGTCTATTCCAAGGCCAAACAGTCTCAATGTAGCCATGATCTGATGTATTCACACGATCAGCCATAGCAATCAATAAACACAACACACATGGAAATAATGTCCAAATTGTCTAAGTTTATCTGTTATTAAAAATAGCCTTCAGATAATATACAAAAAAAAAACAAAAAGTCTGGTAACACTTGAAAGTCCTGTATACAGGAATCTTCAGTGAAGTTTGTAAACTGAGTTTTGCTTGAATGTGTAAAATGAAATGCAGATAAAACAAATCTTTGTTACTCAACATAAAGATGGCAAGAGGAGGGAGAAAACAGGCCAAAATAAAATGTTCTCAACTCACTTAAAAGCATGCATTCATTTCTTCCAATGTGTCTTTTTCATGTCCTTCTTAATTGTGTTTATTTATTTATTTCATCTTTTTTTTTTTTTTTTTGAGACAGAGTCTCGCTCTGTCACACAGGCTGAACTGCAGTGGTGCCATCTTGGCTCACTGCAAGCTCCGCCTCCCGGGTTCACGCCATTCTCCTGCCTCAGCCTCCTGAGTAGCTGGGACTACAGGTGCCCGCCACCACGCTTGGCTAATTTTCTGTATTTTTAGTAGAGATGGGGTTTCACCGTGTTAGCCAGGGTGGTCTCAATCTCCTGACATCGTGATCTGCCCACCTTGGCCTCCCGAAGTGCTGGGATTACAGGCATGAGTCACTGTACCCGGTCAATTGTGTTTATTTCTAAAGCTGGTGACAAAATGAGTGGTATTACATTATTTACAAAGGCTCTAGCCAGCCACGAACTCCTCCAAAGGAAATAAAAGTAAATAAATAAAAGATAAAAATGGGTTGAAAATTCCTTTTGAGAGAATTGCATTTTGGTGGAGGAGAGAGTATAAGTAGATTGGATTAAAATAAAACTGACCTGTATAATTTGCATATTGTCATTATGTTTAAAAGATTATAAAGATTATGATATGTTATGTGTATTACACATACTTATTCATATGTGTATGTGTATATGCATGTATATATGTGTTTGTGTATGTGTGTTTATATATGTATGTATATGTACACATAAAATATAGCTGGTTATATAACTGTATTATCTAAAAGGGAGGTTTGCAAAAAAAGGCTCCAAAATATCTGATTCTGTCCCAGAACTTGCTTTTTTCCCTGATTGCTTCAGGTGTAAATATCAAATTCTGGAATAGGATAATACCCAGAAGGGAAAAGAAAGACAGCTTCCAAAATTATTTCATATTGTCAACAGAAGCTGTCATCAATGATGTAAAAATTCATATAGGTTTCATCAAGAAAAATTAAAGATATGAAACTTTAAGTAACAGCTCTTCTGATTTATTCAACTTAATGAAAAGAAGGGCAATCTGGCTCATTAAATTGGAAAGTGTTCTAATTTACTGTGGGGTTAATGACTGCTGTTTCAGGGAATTGAAAATCCTTTTTCCAAATTTTGTTCACTCTTGTTAGCTTATTCTGATTAGATAAATGACAAGGGAAAATGTACAGCAGCTTATCAAACTACTTGATTAAACTTGCAGTGATATCAGCTCCTTCTATAACCCTTGATGCTATAGCCTCACTACTCAGATATGCTAAATGTGGTACTTCTTACTCCTGATTTATGCTCTCATGAGCTGTATCACTCAGGACAATCACACATTCATTCGGGCATGCAGATTCCAGCAAAGTTTCTGTAAACAACTGTCACAACAACAAATATTCTTCAACCTCCAAATTAAAAGTAGAAACATTTTATATCTTGTGCTCTACTGATAGTTTAAAATCTTGCATAGTAAACACTTCTGTCCATGAATTCTCTGGCTGTTCACAACATATGGCTGTGAGTCATTCCCATCTTCTTGCTTCATGGGCAGCATTCTACATGCTGATAGCTACTTCTATGAGCTTCTGTGACTCCAAAATTGTCCTTAAGAAAAATAGCTGCTGGTCTAAAGTTTTCCTGTGTGTGTGTTAGTTTTCATCACATAGCACCATCATCCTCAAAGGAAAAGGGAGAGCAAGTACATAAAAATTCCAGGGCAAAATAGTTTCAAAATCATACTCGTTACAGGCTGTACAGTGACCACCTCTCGGTCCCACTGCTAGACCTACTATTCTTTTCTCTAATCTTTGGCCATATTCTAAGTGTGTTCCACATTCAAGTCAATGCCTGAGTCCTAAGACATAGAAATAAGCAACTGCTCAATAGAAAAACAGAAACAAAACAAAAAACTCATGCCCAATTGTGGGGCAGACATCTACTGTGATTGTTCTCTGAAAGTTACAGCATTGAAAACTACAATTAGTGGAATCACTTCTAAAGAGATAAGGCTACCTGTTACACCTAAACAGGCTAGAATATTCATCTGGCAGTACTTGTTAAACTTTGCTTTATACATTGATGTGCTATGGGTACCTATTGAGAACATGCCTTATGAATTCAAGTAACTGCTATTATGTAATATAGGTGGAAAACTTAAAAAAGGACTTGATGAGTTAATCTCTACTGAAAGGGCCAGTTTATTCATTCAGTAAGTGATCCCTGAGCATCCAGTGTGTGTCTGGACGTGTGGTAGATGCTGGGGATATGTTTGTGATAGAACTTCAATGAAGGGCTCCATTTTCTTAAGGTATATTTCATTCGAAAAAACAAGTGAATAAAAAATACTTTTCTGGAAGAATGAATAAGATGTTGCTATCTATAATTATTATAAATACCATGGCACAGGGCCTAATAGTTCAAAAGTGATTTCACATGTATAATTTAATATGGTCTTTACAAGAACCCTATAAGGCAGAAAGGTCATGCTCGTATATTCAGTTACCTCATGTTACGGAAGAAGAAACTGAGGCTTGCAGGTTTCCTTGCTATAGTTCACGGGGTGGCAAAGTACGGCCCATCATCTGCTTCAGTAAATAAAATTTTACTGGCACATGACCAGGACCTTTTGTTGAGATATTGCCTGCGACTGCTTCCCTCTACAACAGCACAGTTGAGTAGGTGTGTTGACAGAGACAATGCTGAAAGTATTTACTATCTGATACTTTACAGAGAATAAAACATCTATTGCTACAGAATATACAGGCAAGAAGGGATAGAGTTGTCTTTTCACTTCAGGTTTTTTTTCTCACACATTGTAAAATTCAGGGATGCTCTATGGGGCAGGGCAAATTAGAATTGATTTCTGAGGGGTGAGAGAGAAGAAAATGTGCTTTGAACAATAATTTCATATTTGCAAACATATCTGCATTGCTTTCATGAGAGAGCCTACAGATAGCAATGCCCAACAATGCTCTTGATTAGCAATTCCTAAAATAAAAGGGAGGGGGAAAGAGACAAAGAGATACCCACCTCCTTGGACACAGGTGAGAATCTCCCAAATATGGTGAGAAGAGGAGACAGATGAGATTTTTTAATCAAAGAAAGACAAGTAAAAATACAATTCTAAAAGAGAGGTTGAGAAACCTGCCATACTAACCTCTACTAAGTATTGATTCTTGGTGCATTGCTTTCTTGGTTTTTGCATGTGTGAAGGATGATTAAAAATGATGACTCCAGATACCTACTTTTGAGAAGGCTCTAAAGGGTTATTTAACAGTTGACCATCTATAAACACCATATAGAAAATTTTCCCTAGAGGACTAACATGTTGTTTCAAAAATTAAACAGACAAACCAAAAAAATCTAAAAAGTCACTGAAGAACAATAGCGTCTATTTCAGAATAACTAGAAATTGATATCCAGGTTTCCATCCAGCCAAATCTAGCTGGTGACAAGGCCAGCTACCACTGTTTGCTATGACAGTGACAGAGCTGCATTTCTATGTTAAAAGTCTAAGCCATGAGGAAACAGGAGCCTAAGGACCACAGTATCAACCTCATATAAAAGCACAGTTACATGGAGTATTCCACAATTCTGTTTCCGACAGAAGTGTAAAGAATGAAAGAATAAATGACCCATAAGGCCAAAACCGCATGGACTAGGATAATACAACGGTGCATTTTCATGTTCCTGTAATAGTATACACTTAATCTTAGCCAAAAGGCCAAGAAGTGATCGTGTAATACTACAGAGTCAAAGTATTACTTGAATTCCAACTCAGATGAAAGGAAACAACGCAAAATCCTACAGCCTTTCTTTTATTTTCTTTTTCTTTTCTTTTCTTTTTTTTTCCAGACAGAGTTTCACTCTTGTTGCCCAAGCTGGAGTGCAATGGCGTGATCTCTGCTCACTGCAACCTCTACCTCCTGTATTCAAGAAATTCTCCTGCTTCAGCCTTCCGAGTAGCTGGGATTACAGGCGTATGCCACCACGCTCAGCTAATTTTTTGTATTTTTAGTAGAAACAGGGTTTCACCATGTTAGCCAGGCTGGTCTCGAACTCCTGATCTCAGGTGATCCGCCCGCCTTAGCCTCCCAAAGTGCTAGGATTACAGGTGGGAGCCACCGCGCCCAGTCAATTTTACAGCTTTTCTTCTGATCTGAATCTGCCAGTTCTGGAGATGATTTTATTCTGATATTTTAGTCACCTGCCAATGCTAATTCTATCTTTTAAAACAAATCAGTTAAGAATTCCTCTTCAAAATTTTCATTCTTATTCTAAATTGACAAGAATCTGTGAAAACATGGCCTAAATGTGTGAACATTCCTGTGGATTTATTCTACCATTGGAAAGAGTTCATATGTAGTAAAGAAAAATCATTAGTCAAAAATATAGGACTAAACTTCAATTTATTTCCATTCGTTTACTGACACATCTATTAATGAGTATGTACTATAAGTAAGGTACCAAAATAGTCATAAGATGAAGCCAGAGAAAACTACAGAACTTTTTTAAATAATATTTTTTAAAAAGCAGTTTTTTCTTTTTCTTTCTTTTTTTATTTTTTAAAACAGGGTTTTGCTCTGTTGCCCAGGCTGGAGTATGGTGGTGTGATCATAGCTCACTGCAGCCTCAACCTCCTCAGGCTCAGGTGATCCTCCCACCTCAGCTTCCAAAGCAGCTGGGACTATAGGCACATGCCACTATGCCTGGCTAATTTTTGTATTTTTTCGTAGGGACAGGGTTTTGCCATGTTTCCCAAGTTAAAAAGAAAAAGTAATTTTCAAAGACATCATTCCACTTTAAACCACTGGTAGAGGGTTTTGAAAGGACTCATACTGGTGTTTGCTCTAGTTGAAATTAATCTTATGTATTATTAAGGTATGATTCTTCTAAGCGATTAATAAAAACATTTTAATGCACATATTGGATCCACAACTATATCTTAACAAAATCCAGCAATACCTGCAATGTAGAAATGAGGAGGTCTGTGTATTTAACAAAAGTCACAAGTGGAGAGAATAGACTCTGCCCCTGTTTCCCGAGTCCCACTTTGTCTGCCTTTCCTGACTCAATGCCACAAACATAAGTAACACTAAGTCTCTTTTTCCCCTTCTGCCACCTCCACTTTCGTCACTTCAGAAAAACAACCAAAGACAACAAATACATCAAAACCTGAGCTCTATGAAAACATGAAAATCTAGAAAACGAGAGGTGCATTCAGCATGACTGAAATGTTTAAGTAATTTAAATCACATAAAAAGCTTATACTAACATTAAAATACTGCATTTAAAGCACCCTTCACACTTCCCTGAAAATGGAAAGGAAAGATTCTAGAAAACAACTCGGCATGGAAACCCTATTAGAATGTGGGAGGTGATCGGGCTTAAGGAGAGTTAGTGTTAAGCAGAGAATGGTACTTCTAAGGTCGCTTTCTGGTGTTATAAACAATGCGAGGCCGCTGTGGCTCTCTTGTCAATCATGTGCGTGAGGCCCCCTTATTGCAGACTCCATTAAACAACAGAGGAAAACCGAATGCTTTCAGGAGACGTAAGGCTCAACTCTACAAGTAATTATGATGTGCCTCCTATGCACAGAAACCACATGATCAGCAAGACACTGTCCTGGGACATTGCCCAGGGTCAAGGGGCTTGGGTAGGTCGCTTTCCATCTTCCTCACAGTTCTGGGTCTGTGTGTTCCCTGCTGTTTAATTGTGGCTGTCACTCTATGTTCATGTCCAAAGTACTCAGTCAAATCATGGAAAGTTCACTAGAAACTCTGATTCCTCACTCATGCCCTTTCAAACATTGCTAGTCTTCCTGTCACACACCCACGACATGGCACTGGGGCCAGACAGGAAGAAAACAAGGAATGCATTGTTTGAAAAGAACTAAAGGGCAAAGCAGAGTAAGAGGCACAGCAAAGATAGAAACATTAAGGACTATCTTGGGGAAGTTGCCCCCTTCTAAGCTCAGAGACTTCAGTGAAACAGACTGACGTCTTTACATCTCAATTTCCTCACATGTAAAATTGGAAGTAAGAATCCCTACAGCAGACAGCACTGGATTCTGGTGTATACAATAATAACAAAAGTTTTAGGCTGGGCACGGTGGCTCACGCCTGTAATCCCAGCACTTTTGGAAGCCGAGGCGGGCGGATCATGAGGTCAGGAGATAGAGACCATCCTGGCTAACACGGTGAAACCCCATCTCTACTAAAAATACAAAAAATTAGCCGGGCATGGTGGCAGGCGCCTGTAGTCCCAGCTACTCAGGAGGCTGAGTAAAGAGAATGGCGTGAATCTGGGAGGTGGAACTTGCAGTGAGCTGAGATTGCACCACTGCACTCCAGCATGAGTGACAGAGCAAGACTCCATCTCAAAAAAAAAAAAAGTTTTACTTCTTTTTTTCTGGTAACAGGAATATCGAGGGCAGGATGGTAAGGCAGACTCCTCAAATCATTTAGGACCTGGGTATTTCCAGTTCACTGTTTGGCCATCTTCAGGGTGTGATCCTTGACCTCATAATGAACAATAGCTGCTGGAGCTCCAGTAATCATATCTAAGTTCTGGGCAACAGAAAAAATGGAAAGGTATACAACTTTCCTTGTACTGTAAGTCCCACAGTTATTCGGCTCACATGTCATTGCCCAACAATAAAACAAACGGCCACACCTAACTGCAAGGGAAGCTGGGATATATAACCTAGCTGCACATCCATAGGTCCAGATATAAATTGGGATTCTGTTACTAAGGAAGAAGAAGAAAGTGTATATTGGAAGAGAACCTGGAGCCTCTACCACCTGCCTCTCCTTCTAAGATAGAAACACTTAATTTGTAAGTGAGAGACTGGCATAATAGGGACATAGAGGAAAAATATTCTAATTACTAAGTGGCAAAGTAATTTTACTTGTCAATTCGACATTTCATTAGGTATTTCAAATGACAGCATCCAAATATGTGGAATTTTACCACTCACTCTCAACCCATTACCTTCTGCTCTATCAAAACATACATTCTCCATATTAACTGAAGCCTATTATGATTTGCACGAGAGAAAAGAAAAATTCCAAAGTTCAGCAAAGCTCAAGGAAAGACACTGATGAGGACCAATGAGATCCGAACAGAGACACTGCCTCGATCCTATTAGCCAAAGGGTTTGTAAAACTCAGTTCTTTTGTTGAGAGACCATCAATTCCCTGAGCACAGGCCTGGTGCTGGGCCCTCAAAGTGAGTGAATGAATGAATGAATGATGGTTAAAGCACTTTGTATGTACTCTTTTATTAATAAATAAATATATATCACATATATATAAAACAAATGTAATTTATTCATCCTGAATATATGCCTGATCTGATATATGCCAAATACTTCATTAGATATACGCTAAATACTTTCATTATAAAATATGTATCTCTGATATGTATTAAATATCTACACTATTTGATTATAAAACATATATCTCTGGCATGTGTTAAATAGGTACTATATTTGATTAAAAAATACATATCTCTGGTACGTGTTAGACAGATACTCTGATTATAAAATACATATATCTGGTATGTGCTAAACAGATACCCTATTTGATTATAAAATACATATCTCTGGTATGTGTTAGATATCTACTCTATTTAATTATAAAATATATATCTCTGGAATGTGTTAAATAGGTATAATATTTGATTAAAAGATATATATCTCTAGTACGTGTTAGATTACTCTGATTATAAAATACATATCTCTGGTATATGTGCTAAACAGATACTCTATTTGATTAGGAAATATATATCTCTGGTATGTGTTAAATAGCTATTCTATTTGATTATAAGATGCATATTTCTGGTATGTGTTAAATAGATACTGCATTTGATTATAAAATGCATATCTCTGGTATGTGCTAAACAGATACTCTATTTGATTAGAAAATACATATCTCTGGTGTCTGTAAAATAACTATTGTATTAATTATAAAATGTATGTTTCCATCATATGTTAAATAAACACATTAAACCAAATACATTTGGTTATAAAATATATATCTGTGACATGTGTGAAACAGACACCATATTTGAGAATAAAATGCTCATATTGAACCTGTGTCCACGCAATGGGGGAGCTGCCTCGGATAGAATGGTGAATACTCAAAACAAGCTCTGTGTAGATCACAGAAGGAAGCTGGGTCACACTCAGCGCAGACTTTAGGTGCATGCCCATGTCTAAATTTCCCTAAAAGAACTGGCATCCTGTCTTAAGTGCCAGCTCCAAGAGAGGAGCACTCTCCTCAAACAAAACGGGTTTTGGCCTTACAGTGATCAATGTGTCTGGGTAAGTAGAGACCCTTGGAAGGGAGTGGGTCATCCCCTAGCAGAGGGGCTGAGGGCAGGCTGGAAGGAACCCATGCTGCATTGTCTGGGGGAGGACAAGGTGTGGAGCCCTGAAGCCTTTTCTCACCCTGATGGTGGTACAACTCTGCTTAGAAGGGGCTGTGAGTAGGACTTTACTATGTGGGGAAAAAAAATCATTCACTGCTAATAACAACAGCAACAACAGAACATATATATATATATATACACATACACACACATATATATGATGAAAATAAGAGCATCACAGTCAATCATTCCCATTCACGAGATCTTGATGATAAGTTATCACTGGCCCTGTATTTTTTTTCCTCTTAAAGAGAAACAAAGCTATTTATGAGGAAAAAAACATATAAACTGATTTGAAGCCACCAGAATAATTATAAAATTGGATGTTTCGAAAGAAACATATTAATATGGGAAGGAAGGTAATTCCTCAGTTATAACAAGCTTACCTGCCCTTTGTATTCCACTGGCTTCAGTCCTGCATAAATGGGCACAAAACTGCTGGCTAGGAGGACCTAGATGGATAAAATAAAGCAGCTCATGACTACATGCATGAACATTCAGACAATACAGTTGATGTAGTATTGACTAGCAAAATCTCAATAAATAAGCCCAACAGACTTCAAGTGCAGCACTGCACATAATTACATAAAAGATAACACTTTTAATAACAGAAAAGACTCTAAACAGATAGGTACAAGTTGACACACTCAGAATCAATCAACTTCACCTGGGTAAAAATCAGCATTTTTTTTTATAGTAGACACACAAGTTATTATAAACCAAAATTTAAGGTAAGTCTAAGTTCCTGAGTATGTAAAGGTTACAGAGAAATTATTTGTAACGTTCTATCATATACTGTAAAAACCATGTTACAGTTGCACTCCTACTTTCTGGAGGAACAACGCCCTCTGATTACGACAGGAGAGGTTAGTCCACAGCTCAGAGATGTTCTCATTTATGTCACCAGGATTTGCAAAGGGAATGAAATATTTTATGTTCCAATGACGTGGTCAGGATATGTAATGGAACCCTGGCAAGCAGTGACATCAATTATGCTTTATCTCCCATTTAAAAAGTTGAAAAAGATTGTCATTTAGACAATTACCATTCCATACATCATAAGAAGTTGGGCTCTGATAGCTCTTCTGAAATGTAAATGTTTTATTTTGCTGTGCAGTTTCCAAATCACTAGTGTTCTATTTGAAAACATACAGCATTAGATACTGAATATTTTTTAAGCTATAATCTTTCAACTGATAAGTGAAAGACTCTGGCTGTTTGTTGTCAAAGATTTCATGAGACTTTTTTTTTCATCATACATTATTCAGAAATGGATTATGGCTCAAATGCTGACTTGCAGATCATCCATTTACAATTATTTAGAACTCAAAAGGCATTTCCTCTAAAAATCAATGTTATAGGTATGGTTTTTGGGTCAGCTCTCAAAAGCCTATTTATTCTGAACGGCAACTAAATTACAGATTCAGTCAGCAGCATAACAATTTCCATAGGAAAATCCTCTTTTGAGCTGCAACCCGACACAGCTGGAACCTACTCTTGCCATTTTTATTTCTGCACCATGTACAGGGAACTTCCATAGCTTTCTTATGCAGTGGTTCTTCCTTGGACATGTCTCCTGTTTCCTCATTACCAAAAACCCCACTGAAAGGACAGGGACTTGTGTCTCTCCTGGTATGTCCAGCCCTTGGCAGAGCTCATACTCAACAAACATCTGTTGGGTATTTCTCTCCCTTCTCTGTGATGCGCATGGACCCAACACTCCTCCACCTACCTCAATAGTGGCACTAAAGAAGGTTGCCCAGTGCTGTTGGTGGCATGCTGGTTGCAAAGGCACAGGCCTGGTTGTAACAACTCCTACAGCAACAGGCTCCTGACAAATGCCCAAAGAAGCTTCTGGGGCCTCAGGTTTCAGCAGTGGCAAATTCAAGGATAACAGCACAACACAGGGACTCCAGCAGGAAAGAAGGTAAGAAATAGCCATGTGTGAAAGGGTTCTGTTGCACCATGCTGGCACTAGGTGCCAGAACCAGCTATATAATTTCTGGGTCCTGTCCAAAATAAAATAAATGCAGGGCCCCTTGTTCATAAAGTATGGAGAATATTGAGATGTTGGCAGCAGAGCATTAAACCAACGGTGAGGCCCTTTGGATAGTGGAGCCATGTGCAAATGCACAGGTCATACACTCATGAAGTAGACTTTGCCTCAAATATACTGTCTAATTTAATTATTTCTTGGCCCTGTCTCAAAAAGATAAAGTTGCTCAAAGATCTCTCTGCTAATACATGGTTGAGACTGCCCCCGGCACCAATTTATTTTAATATAAAATGTATATTTTACCACAGCCAACATAAACATGTCAGATTTCTCACAATGAGTCTTTTTTTCATCTTTTGGTCAATTTTATACACATCTATCTCAATGGCTTGTTTATTGAAATAGTGAAAGCACGCTAGTTTGCAGCACTGTTTCTCAAAGGAAAGCAGGCACTTGTATTTATTTTTTATGTGCTTGTTTATTTATTTATTACAAGGCATAATAATAACCTTACACAAGGTCTGTCAACCTTCTACAAAATGTAATTGCGGACATGCCCACATCACGACATTCTTCTCAAAATCTCAACTTTAAATGGCCCACATAATGCAATACTGTGACATTACAGCAATCATGCTTCTTTCACCAAGAGGCAAAGCAGGAGTGAGTAGCACCTTGGGTGATTTGGTGAAGATCACTTAATAAATCAACAGGAGAGAGAGGACAGAAAGCAGGCATCTTCAACTCTAACCTTCTCAGCCCACTGGTAGCAATGACATCATTGGCTTCAGAGAAAGGTTGCTTACGGTTAAGGTAACTGCATTCACCCTAACTAAACCCAGCCTTATCAGCAATTGGCTACACTTTTAAAAAAATAATCACAGACCCTAGGTATGTTTTGCAAGCACAATGTAGCTATTTAATGAACTTATTCAGCAAATGCCACACCACAAAGCAATAACTAGAGCACTTTGTGGATAGCACACATATTGTGAAATTACAGTACTTAGAGGTCTTTAAAGAACCAAAAACACTCCATAAATATAATGATTTATTTCATTATTCTGCAGAGAGACATGTGAACTGCAAAAAAATCACTAACCTTAGAATTACGGTTTGTTTTATTTTCTTTTCCCCCGTGTCAAAGTAAAATGTAGAGTTCACAAGTTAATGCTTGGAACTATTTTGAGATATTTTGATGAAAAATGCTATCCAATTACTTTCCTACAGATAATAACAGTAAGAATCCTCCTGAATGATATGAAAAGTGCAGTGAACTGGAAAATACTTGTCACTCCTCCAAATAAATGTATTTGTTTTTGTCATAGCTGACTCTCCCTTTATATGGACTGATGATTTGTATATCAAACCAAGTTTAGTGGGGAAATTAGCTTTAGATAGTTAAGAGCTAAGTAGCTTTTCTTGTTTATAGTCAGCTTACTGCCATTTTATTGCAGGCAAATGGGATTTCCTAAGAAAGGAGATAAAGACTGACATTCTAAGGTTATATAATAAAATATTATGCCTAAACATATGCTTTTAGTGTATTTCACCTCACAATATTCCCAGCGAAATTCACCTTACCAATGAACTTCAACACGTCTACAGCACTTGTTCTCAGCTGAGGGTGATTTTACCCCCTAGGGACGTTTATCAATGTGTCTGTCATAACCTGGGGTAGAGAGGGTGGGGGGTGGTGGTGTCCTGCTGGCATCTACTGAACAGAGACCAGGGATGCTGCTCAAATTCTTACAAAGGATAGACAGCTGTCACAAGAAATAACTATCTGGGGAATAATCTGGGTCCCTACTGCCAGGAGTGCAGTGTTTGTGGCTGAGAACGCCGATGTGGAAAGCAGGGGTGTAGTTTTCACACCCTGTCACTTGGTACAGCACTTTCAATGTTGGACATATGTGAAACCACTGATTTGTGTTCTTACTAAATACACAATGATAAAAATGAGAGCTAGTGTCTTCCTATAGCAACAGTATAAAACACTGCCAGGTGCACATTCCTGACATGTTCTGATTGACTCTCTTCATTTTGCATTTTATAGAAAAGAGGTGTTTAGAAAATTATGCGACCTAGCTTCCTTAGGGATTAAATTCTCAACAAGTTTCATTTATCCTTAAAGTTTACTGTGGACTTTAATGAGAATCTAACTGTTTATACAGAACCTGCTGGTATAGTTGAAATTCAAAGACAGATTCAAATTTATCTTCCTCAGTTTTTCCAAGATAATGACCAATCTCAAATTCAGTTCTTATTTCACCTTCACAAGGCTAAATGTGAGAGGATCTTGTTAAGAGCATTCTCACACATGCGAAGAAATTCAGGATATCACTGCAATAGAGACAGGGCAGAATTTTCTCAAGATGGCCAGGGACACTACTGTGCAGGAAAGGCTTCCTGGGTACCTCTATCCTACAGCATTCACACGTGTCAAAAGACCCTTTTGGAAAACACTTGTGTATCAGTCTTAAACATGAAGAATTCAATGATTCGTACCAATTCAGGGAAGTAGTGGAACTCCACCACGTCACTGCACTGTTAATTTTTTTTTACACATCATTTTAGCTCAGCCATGGAGGTTACATATGACTTTCGTTTAACCTAGGGGCTCACCTCCCTAGTTATGCTTTGCTAAAGGCTAACATTAAAATGTGTTTGGATTTCCTAGTTGCATGCATGCTTCTAAAGAAAAACAGCCCACAACAAAATCTGGAACTCAAAATGAATGAGTTGGTATGCAAAATGCGCACACTTGACACTCGGGGGATACTCTGTAGAGCGGCACACCAGGAGAGGAATCAGGAAGGAATCATGCAAAATAATGAACAGTATGAAGAGATGGATGTCTGCAGAGTGGAGGCACTTGAAGGTGACCATGCACATCTGGTATGTACTTAAGAGTTGATGAAATACTTTCATACATACTTCATTTGGCCTTGTTCTGAAGGTATCCATCTTAAAGATGAAGAAACTAAGGCTCCAAGAAGTTGAGACTCACCAAAGGTCCCAGAGCCCACCAATGACAGGGTTAGGTGGATGTGTACCACTCCTCCATGACTCTTTTCCATCCCCTAAATTATCTGCATTTGCAGGAACTGATCTCATCTTGGTTTTGATCTGTTGGTGACCCACAGACATAAAGGGTCATCCTTGGAGGGAACATTTTTCTGGGTGTGGCACCCAGAAATCAATCTCTCAGATGGGAAATAAAGATATGATTTTGGAGGGGGGCCTCCTGGGGCTCTGGTTAACTCTATAAAGGGGTCTCCCCTCTGCAGGCTGCCTTCAAGTAATTGAGCAGCAGACACCATCTGTGTTTCCCTTTGTTAGTACAGTCACTATAAGGGAGGAGCGGAATGGTTGACACCAATAAATTCTGAACAAAGGAATGCCTTAAGGCCTGCATCTGTATAAACCTATAACGGTTTATAAAGTAGAAAAGACTGAGTTAAATCCTCATGAACATAAGATTCAAAATTCTGTGGAAATTCAACTCTAAATAAAATGAAGAGTTGGACCACACAGTCCGCAAGGGTTCCAGGAAAACGATCAACTAGCATTGCAGCTTTCAAACGAGTGATTTTCCATGCCACTAAAGGTGAAGCTCATTAAGATAAGTTAAGTATGAATCATCATACAAAATTATTTATTTTAAAAAAGAAGGCTTATGATGATGAGCTGTAAAATCAAATGCCTAAAGGTGGCAAGAACGCAGCAGCAACCATTTCCTGAAGTATTACAGATATCAGTTAGCACATTGTTCATGAAGACAGGTGATAAGTAAGGGGTTAAAGAATAACATTGATAAGAAAAAGTAAGTCCTATTCAGCCTTAAGAAAAGAAAGTGGTGACTGAATATGGCTTTAAAATATCATGACAGATTCATACAAGGGTGCTGAGCAGGGGTGTGTATGGGTTATTATTTGTTCATGATTTATGAAATATTGGCTCCATTCAGCATGCATAAAGGGCTTTACCATTTAAAACACACTTTCACAAGCGTTATCTTATTTATTCTGCACAGTAACACTAGTTAGTATTACTGTGCGAATTATTCCATTTCAGAGATGAGAAAACTGAGACTCAAAAATAATTAGTCCAAGAGGACGACATCAGGAAACGACAGGCCTAGACATATCACCAGGACACTCATAAAACAAGTAACCATCCTTGAGGAGATTCAAAAAGACCTCAAAATACACACACACACACACACACACACACACTCTCTCTCTCTCTCTCACACACACATTCTAAGCTACAGGTTTCTAGTTGGATTTTCAGGTACGTAGGCACGCTGTCTGTAACAAACAGCATCAGTCAGCTAGTGGATAATGAAAAACTAGGCATTTTAAAAAAAATTCAACTATTAAGTAGCAGAACAAATGAGTTAATGATAAAAACAGACAGAAAATACAACATGGAGCAAAGTTTAAAGGAGGTGAAAATCATCAGTGTTTAGTATTTCATGCTCTCCCATGCTCTTTTCTCTAACTTGAGTTTTAATCAACCTCTCTCTTTCTCTCTGTCTCCCATCCCCTCCATCTAAAGAATATCCAGATACTGGGAAGTAGACTTGTATTAGTTCATTTTCACACTGCTGATAAAGACATACCCGATACTGGGTAAATTATAAAGAAAAAGAAGTTTAATGGCCTTACAATTCCATGTGGCTGGGGAGGCCTCACAATCATGGTGGAAGGTGAAAGGCAGATGTTGTGAGACTTATTCACTACCAGGAGAACAGTATGGGATGGGGAAAACCATCCCCATAATTCAATTATCTCCCACTGGGTCCCTCCCACAATACATAGGAATTATGGGAACTACAATTCAAGGTGAGATTTGGCGGGGGGACACAGACAAACCATATCAAGACCCCAGGCTGTATATTCAGAGCCAGGTGTACCAAGCCCTGGGAGACCTGCAGCTACCCATCATCGAGCTGCTTCAACACATGGCTTCAGAGCCTCCTGTCTCCACCTAAAGGGAGTGGGGTGACCTTCAGGCAGCCTCCCCAACCCCAACCAAAAAGGTCAGAAGCACCATCCTCCCATGGCACCACCTCAGACAACATTCTCCCACCATCCTCTTCTTTCACCGGAACATATATACTTGATCATGTCCCTACCTGGCAGGGGGGTTACTTTACTTCCTCTTCACGCTTATTCCTTTCCTACATCATCCCTAGTCTTCCCGCACTGTCACTCTTTTCTGCTAAATTCTTCCTGAGTATTCCAGGCATAGGTTTCACAGTTTAACAGTCACCATCTGCTATCATGGAACTATTCATCCTTCCTTCTTTTTAATTCCGAAAAAGGTTAAAACATCCTCCTAAACACGTAGAATGTTTCTTGTAGAACCCAGAATAAATGTCAATTATTCGATTTTCTCCTTACAAGTATTACACATTTGTGTCAACAATTTCTCTTCTGTTCAATGAACTCAAGTAATTACACGAATTCTCTGAATAGTTATTATCCAAAACAAAGGAACTAGAAAAACATCATGTTTTCTAAACAGCAACAGTTTGCTATTGCTGTTATAACAAATTACTACAAATGTAACCGCTTCAAACAAGACACATGTATTGTCATACAGTCTGAGGGTCCAAAGTCTGATATGGGTCTCACTGGGAAAATCCAGGTGTCAGCAGGGCTGCGTCTCTTTCTGGAGGCTCTGGGGGAGAATGTGCCTCCTTGCACATTCAGGTGTTATGAGAATTCAGTTCCACAGGTTACAGGGCAGATGCCCCCTTTTCTTTGCTGGCTGACAGTGGGGAACTGCTTCCCTAGAAGTCTCTGTGCTCCCCTGGCATGTGGCTCTTACATCTCCAAACCAGCCATGGTACACAGAATCCAGGAAAGGTGTCCATTTTTCAAGATTCAGGTACTTAGTTTGGGTCCACTTGGATAATACGGGATCATCCTCCTATCTCAGACCTTAAACTTAATCACATCTACAGAATCCCTTTTGACAGGTAAGGTTACATCTGGACAGGTTCTTGAGATTAGGGTAAGGGCAGCATTGGGTGTCATTCTTCTGTCTGCCACATAAAAGAGATGGATAGGGAGGATAAGCATTTTATCCAGCATGGGGTACAGTTAGGTAAGAATGCTAGACGCATGGACCACAGTCACAGCTGGGCCCCAGCCAGCTATGTGATTTTGCCCGGGTCATAGAGTACGGAGGGCCCAGCTTCTTTCTTTTCTTTTGTTTTAAATCAAGCCAGTGTAACAGATACAACCTTGGTTCATATCCATTCATTTCACACATATTACAGAGTGCCTACACAATGGCTGGCAGTGTGGCAGGTACTGGGCTGTAGCAGTGAGCAAACCAGAGAAAGCCCTGCCTCTTGGAGCTTACACTCTGGTGAAGGAGGATGGACAATAAAAGCTAACCAGGACAGCAGTAAAGAGGTATCATGCTAAAGAGTGATACGTAAATCAGGAGGGATGTAGGGAGATCAGGGGCTGAGAGTTCTGTCATTGTAGACAGAGAAGCCAGGGATGGACTCTGTGAGAAAGAGAGATCTGGGGGCAGAATCCCTCTCATTTTATGTCACAAGAGCACATAGTCTATTCCTAGATAAACACGAAGATGCATGTCTGCCCACCGCAAGCCTTATCTGTCTGTATTGGACATTGACGACTTAGGACCACTTAGCATGGGTTGCCCAGCTCTTCCCTTTACACTGTCAAATCTACATAATATTGTAATGAGATTATAGAATAATATCTTCTTATAAGATAGAAAGACTCTTAACTTGTAAGTGACAGACTGACGTAACAGGGATATTGAGGAAAAATATTCTAACCTATCGAGTGGCCAAGTAATTTTACTTGTCAATTCAACATTTCATTAAGTATTTCAAATGACAGCATCCAAGTATATGGAATTTTACCACTTACTCTCAACCCATTACCTTCCGCTGTATGAAAATATACATTCTCCCTATTACCTGAAGCTTGTTATGATTTGCACTAGAGGGAAAAACAAGAAAAAATTCCAAAAGAAATACACCCTTTCCACCCTACAAATATTCAGTGTATTACCACAGCAGGCACACTGGTATTTGGAAATCAATCAGCTGAAGTATTTCCCAGAGATAATGAATTCTCAACCAACCAACTTTCAAATGTGTTTGGACAGAAAGACATCAGAACAAAATGGAAGAAACAAAACGGAATATTAGATTGAAAAGTTAAGAGACCTGGGTACCAGAATTGGCTCCCACTGCCACACAGGATAATCTTGGGTACATTGGTATATCACATAAAATATTTTCATTCACTTCTCTGTTAAAAACATAAAAGGGATCAGGTGCGGTGGCTCACGCCTGTAATTCCAGCACTTTGGGGGGCAGATCATTTGAGGTCAGTAGTTCAAGACTGGCCTGGCCAACATGGTGAAACCCTGTCTCTACTAAAAATACAAAAAGTAGGTGGACATGGTGGTACATGCCTGTAATCCCAGCTACTCAGGAGGCTGAGGCAGGAGAATTGCTTGAACCTAGGAGACAGAGGTTGCAATGAGCCAAAATTGCACCACTGCACTCCAGCCTGGGCAACAGAGCGAGACTCCATCTCAAAACAAAAACAAAAACATAAAAGGGTCACAATAACACCTATCCTACCTGATTTACAGAAGGACTTGAAGGACTGAATAAGAGAGTACATGTTAAAAACCCTACATACACTCCAAAGTATTAGCCACATAGATTACGGGAATTATTGCTACTAAATTGCATCAGCGACTTGCTTCACATAATCAGTGTGAGATCTGAACATTGCGACACTGAACAAGTACAGGGAGCTTTTAGATGACAGTGCATCATGAGGCGGCCTCAGGAGGGATCCTGGTGAATACTTTCATCAAACATGTAATTTACTGAGCACTCAATCATCTATCGGGCCTGATAAAAGATACAGGATCTAAAGAACATGGTAATGCTCATTACTTTTATATAAAGTATTGAAATCAGCACCTGCTGATTTCTTCAAATAGGAAACATGGCTTTATTACCTTAATGAGGTCCTCCCTGGAGGAAAAAGTGGAGACTAAGTGATTTTCTCTGGTTCTGGTGTTGGTGATGGATACGTGCAGTCGGTTCTGGGCCAGCTCGTGAGCGTTGGGAGGAAGAATCGACTCCATTCCACTTCTAAAGAAAAAGCAATCTGCATCATTCACCTTTAATTATTGAACGCCCTGTAAATATTTTACAAGAGAGAATGCTGAGCTTGCCACAGTTTGTACAGAGAGTCGTCAACATTCTGTCTTCATGTACTTTTGGGCAAAATGTACTCTGTATACCTTAGTTGGGCCATGATGTCATAACCAGGTGTTACTGCCCCAAAAGACTGTCTTCTGATTTCTTCGGCAAACTTGTAGGTAAATTGGTTACATTCCTAAAAAAAGAAAATTAAGAAGTGACCCTATGTGTCATTATTAAAGGTGTGCAAATTCTCCACCTGGCCGGGGCCTCACCCACCACTCTCAGGCCCTTTGCAAAGTATACACTCTCAAAATCCTAATCTTTTTGTTTTTTCCTTTGTAAAGCACCTTAAATGGCATTTGCCCCATCTGAAAAATCCTTGAAGGCTCAATCTGAATTTTAATTGAGCACATTCTTCAAAAAGTTTCCTCAGCGCAATTAACCTTCTCTCCCACACCTATTTTGTGGTCTCAGCAGCAGTTTGATTACAACCCTGCAATAAAGCTGATTACAAATGACAGCACCAGTGACAGAAATAGGAGTGGTGACGTCTATGGTTTGCACAGACTGAACCAGTCTTCGGAGATTCATCTTGGGCACTGGTATTTTATAAAGTCTTTCAGGGATGCTCTGTCTACCCTGGACCGGGATCCACAGAGGTGACACTGTCAGTTCATCTTCACATCATCCTGCAAGGTGGGTATAACCATCCAACTTGACAGATAAGAAAACAGAGGATTGGAGAGTTCAAGTACCTATCCCAATATCTCACTAAAAATGAGTCTCAGAGCCAGGATTTACACCCAAGTCTGTTTTGTATTAAATAATGAATTAATTTGGCAACTAACTGGACACCATGTACTTGGCTAGGCACTGGAACTTGGACAGGATAAGATACAAAGAAACTGTGCTCATGACATTCATAAGTGCCTCCAAGAGCAGGTGACAGAGGGCTATGAGAGCCCCCACGAGGGTGTGTTTGGCTCTCATTTAGTGCAAAAAATAAATAATAACAGGTAAACTAATTTGAGAATATGAGGACATCAAGTCTCAAATTCAGGTAAATTATTCAATGTCTTAACATTGCAGAATTTCAGTTAAGTGGCTATATTATTGCAGTGGTCTCTCCTCTCCCCACAAAGATATCCACATTCTAGTCCCTGGAACCTGTGACTAGGAGACCTTTGCTAAAAGGGACTTTGTAGAGCCAATTAAGGACCTTGAGATGAGGAGATAATCCTGGATGACCTGGGTAGGACCAATGTCATCGAAAAGGTTCTTGTAAGGGAAGGAGGGAGGTAGGAGAGGCAGAGTTGGAGAGATTTGAAGATGCTGTGCTTATGGCTTTAGAAATCAAGGAAGGGGTCAGGAGCCAAGGAGTCTGGGAACCCTTCAGAAACTGAAAAAGGTAAGGAAATGGATTCTCCCCTGGAGCCTCTGGAGAGAGTGAGCAAGGACATTTTGATTTTAGCTCAGTGAGACCCTTTTAGACTTAAGACCTCCAGAGTTGGAAGATGATAAACACATGCTGTTTTAAGCCACTAAGTTGAAGGTCCTTTGTCAAAGCAGCAACAGGAAATGAATACGGTGTGTGTCAACCTCCAACCTCGTGGGTTGCCAAAGGTTTCCCTCCAATTTGACACCCAGGCTGGGACTTAAACATAAACAGGAATCGGGCAGGGGATGAAGGTGAAAGCAGAGGATAGTAAAAACAACAGCAAGAACAACTCTGAGAGGGGCACAGAGCTGAAATGCGTCCCTATGGCGAGCCACAAGTAGGGCTAAGTCACATAGGGCCTTGTGATACAAGCTGAGAAACGTGGGCCACATTATCCTAAGTCAACAGACAGCCTCTGCCCCGGGGGTAATGAGGTGATCAGATATACCTTTGGGTGACATCACTCTAAGTGCTATGAGGTAGGTGGATTGTAGGGAGCTTGAATGGATATAGGCTGCAGGAAGCTCCTGGGTGAGAAATGGGGGTAGCCCCACCAAATGTATGTTCATTCTACTGAGCTAGACTACCCATCAAGCCTATTTCTTTGTACTAATTTTAGTTATATTCAATACTCTCCATAGCCCAGACCAGACTGTAAACTTATTAAAGATGGACTTATTCATCTTTGAGTTCCCCACTGAGTCCAGCACCATGGCTTCCTCGCAAATTGTGAGGGCAGAGGAAAGACTTGCAGCATTGAGCTCTTCCATATCAACGTCTAAATTTGCCTACCACTTAAAACATGCCCTGTATCAGGTGCTCCTCTTAATTATTCATGCATAAGCTCAGAACAAGATTAATTACACACGTATTTGTCACAACAGTAAAAAGTTTGAGGAACTTACATCATCAGCAAGAACCAAGCGAACACGAATCTGAGTAGGTAGAAACATTTGCTAAAAAACACTCAAGGCTATCCTACAGGTGGATTATTTCATATGCTAAATATAAAGTAACTAAAATAACCTTAAGTCAAAGGGTTACTTTGGCTGAAAAATTATTTTGAAGAAGAACAAATGAGGATGCCCTAAGGAAACTAAGAAAATTATTTTCTACCTTCCCATGGGAGCACCAGATAAAGACATCTTTTCATCATACCAGCACCATCAGACAACACAACCCAGTCTCTCATTTAGTGCAAAAAATAAATAACAACAGGTAAACTAATCTGAGAAGATGATGGCATCAACTCTCCAATTCAGGTAAATTATTCAATGTCTTAACATGGCAGAATTTCAGTTAAGTATAAGTGGCTGTACTATTGCAGTATTTCCAAATCAGGTTAATTCTAAATCATATAATACATTTTTTAATTTGCTGAGAATTGGAAACCAAGTCTACATAACTCCAAAGCTTAGGATTTGCCAGAGCTCAAGAAAAGACTGCAGTAAAAAGGAAGAAGTAACACCCTGAGAGTCCTCTGCTTCAAAAATGAAACACAGTTATGGGAAGGAGGTAGCTTGTAATTCAAAGCATATGAATCTGCTAGTTTATGGGGAATTTTCCCACCTCATTTATACCTTGCATGGCTTACGGTTCTCATCCTGTTTAATCTCTGCAGTTTTTAAATCATTTTTCTAGTTCCCTGTAAATCAACCATATAAAGACAGGAAGATAAGTGGATTTCTGAATGATTGGCCTCAAATCTAGCTTCCCTTTGATAAGCAGCTCACAAAAGATCTGAAGTGAGATTTTGATGATTAAAATTGCATAGTTTTAGAATTTTAAATGTGACTGAAATTCACTCTTGGTCATGAGGGTGTTAAATTATTATTTCATTATTGTTCAAAGCTGCTAAAGTATATAATGATTAACAAATATAATATCCTCCAACTACAGAATCCAGCTCTCACAGTCAGCAAATGTTCGATCACTGTCTGGATAGCAGAAAACAGATTTTTAAAACATAGATTGCATTAAATAAAATACTGAATGAAGACTTATTTGTATTACTTCTGGATAAATTGCTTGGAACTCAGAGCTTCCTCTTACTGTGAGAATTAAAAAAAATTAAATTCCTATACCATTCCACTTAATAGAAACTGTTTGCCCACATTTTAATTTATATGTCTATTTCTACGTAGCAGTGAGTAGAGACTTGTTGCCCACATGTTCAAGGCCTTGAAAACAGGCCCCATGCTCTTCTCATCATAGAAAGAGGAAATATCCTTTGCTTGAAAGGAACAGAGCTGTAATCTTAAGGATAAATAAAAACTCAAGAGTAATATGTCATTATTTCCTTATTTCACTATCACCCAAAATAATCTTTTCCACAACCACAGCACAGATCCCTAATAATTACATCTTAAAAGAAAAGTCCTAATCCTTTCTGTTTCCAAGCAAAGGATTAATTCTCTGCCGTGTTAACTTAGTAGAGTCAATGCTCATGTTTGCCTTTGGGTCTTAATTTCTTGATGAGCAACACAGTCTAAGTTACTACTTAATTACCTCTATTTTTTCTGGTGCTGTTAGCAGAACAGAAGCAACCAAGGATCCCGCAGACGCCCCAGCGAAAGCTTTGACATCCTTCAGAAGTTTTTTGCCATGTCTGCAAAGTGCAGATGCTGCCCCCAAGTGGTAAATGCCCAGAAATCCACACGCTGCAAATGACAGGTTGATGTGCTTCATTCTAGCTGCAGCACTGGCAATACAAAAAGCAAAAATGCTTTAAGTTGGAATAGTTTATCCCACGTACTGTGTAGTCTTATGTTGATCATCGTTCCAAGGCTTTCTTCTAACATCATTCTCTGTTTTAAGCACAGTGGTTTCAATTAATTCTAAATAAACACAAGAATATTTCAAGGAAATCTTTTCTTTCCCTCCTCATCTTGACCCAAGTCTTATACATTAAAAACAAACAAACAAAAAAACCCCCAACATTCCACATTTATTCGGTACATAGATTATGCAATCTACGATTTAATTACTTGGCAAGAAACAGATGTATACATTCCAACTGGCAAGGGCATTTGGTCTTTTCTCTTGACCCTTTGAAACGTTTTGCAGGGTGGGGGCGGCACTGCCATTATGAAACAGAAAATTATTAGAGACCGTATCAAATTCCAAATGAACAATACACTTGTTCTTGGTAAGTGTATCAGAAAAGTTTAAATATAGTTCCCTACTCCCCTTCCCCATTTCTATTGAGCACCCATATTTTTATGAACGCCAATACAATCACTCAGTAACGCAGTAAGCAATTACTCAACAATGCAATACATTTCTTTGCCAAGTATCTCAAGACTAACTGAGGTCATGACTGGCGAAGGCAATTTAAGGCTCCATGAAAAGTCAGCCACGCCACTTTATACTTGGAACACATCTAAATAGAAAATTATGTTTTCCTATGCCTCAGTGCGCACTACTTGCCCACGTGAATGAAATTGTGCCTCCACAAGGCTGTCCATTCTGAAGGCCTCAGGGTTTCCTTGGGGGCCCAAGGGCCCCATTCAGGGACCCCAAGATGAGGCACACTGCAGGGCCTCGAATTTAGGGACCTAAGACCGCCTGTTCCTGATGCACCCGGCCAGGCCCTGTGAGGGCAGGAGGCTCTGCCGCCGCAGGCTGCGCTGGCGTCCGCGTAGACTGAATCCCAGTCAATGATCCGGGGGCGAGCCCCAGTTTTGATTCCACTTCTGCAAACGGGGACGGGAAGGGGTTTGGGTGCTCAGCATCCAGGTGGCCAGACCCAGCCAGCACAGGCACAGTGCCCTCCGGCGGCTTAGAGGCCGGCAGGGCCGGGGTGGTCCCCGCATCAGTCCCGCAGGAGCACACCCTTGCTGGGCCCCAGGGCTCCGTACCAATGCAGCCCCGGGACACTTCCGTGTCGAACGAGTCCCTTTAAGCAGATGGCGGGGCCCGACCGTCATTCAACGCCCTTCCGCCGTCAAGGTAAAGCTACGCTCTACGCAAGCCCGCCCAAGAAAGTCCTGCGGCAGGGGTTGGTACCGCCTCCCGCGCAGACATGTGACGTCATCGCGCCAACGCAGGCGTCCGCTCGGCCCCGCCTGCTCTATTTAAACTTCTGGATTCAAGATGGCCGCTAGACCGGAGAGTCCTCCTGCGCAGGCAAGACCTACTCGTTTAGAGTCATGTTATCTTCGAGTATCTAGAGAGACATTTTAACCCACACCCTAGAGAGGCGTTGTAATCCTTGCGTATCTTTTAACGCTACTTGGCCCTCACCTGCGAATCTACTGTTCTTTAATAATCCTCATTTTCTGTGCCTCGGAAGTGCCTTCCTCTCTTCGCGTCTGTTTTCCGGAAGTGGTTCTTCTCCCTCTCCACCCTTGCGCCCGCTTGGGCGGTCCAGCTGCCCCTAGGGCCGACTCCAGGGGCTATTTGGCGGCTGAACATCCCGCAGTTTTTCAAGGCGTGCCTTTGGTTTTTTTAAGAAGTGCTATCTAAAGGAAAGGCTGGACTATGGCTCTGGAACTTTCATATCCTCAGTTGACCTTAGGCTGTGTGACCTTGAGCAGGTAGCATAACCTGAGTTTCCCGCGTGACCTATGTGCAGATTGAGATGATAAAATGAGAGAGCTAAACCGGAAAGCTCTTCCCACATAGCAGGCCGTGAGCAGGTGGCCGTTTTGTCCTCTGCCACCACTGGCTCAGACTAAAGCAGTTTCACTGACCGCCAAGATTGCATGCCATGCCCACCAAGATTTAAAGGACTCTGATAATTCTTTCTCTCCCCAGTGCTTTCCCTATCTAATCTTAATAAGCAAGCCTGGAGGAATCTCTGACTTGTGAGTGAAGGCTCTCCAGGTGCCCTGGTTTAAGGGCAGAGATTTATTTTCTCTGAGGCTACAAAGGAGCATCTGGGAGATGCGAGAATTCTTCTACCTTAGGCAAAACAGGGAGGAGGGTTGGAGCTCTCCAAGTTGCCTCTGGCTTGAGCTTTTTCTTTCTCTTTTGGTGTGTCCTCTCTGGCCAACAACACCTGTGAGTCCTTGATTTGGCGATTAGGGAAGATGTTTTTAGTTCACATAACTATTCTTTAGAAAAAAATCCTGAAAACACCTTATTGCCTGATCATAGAATGACTGCATTACTCAGAATTCTTTACCTCCTCTGGAATTTAGTGAAGGGAAGGCCCAACGTACATTAGGAAAATACAGGCACACTCCAGTCCTTAAACCTTCCACAATCCTCTAACTCTTTGAGGTCGAGTGTGATCCTCCCCAGAACTACATCTTCCAGGAAGTTCATGAGAAAGGAAGGATCCCAGGTCCCATCCCTGATCTCCTGAATCGGCATCTGCATTTTAACAGAATCCTGAAGCAGTGGTCTAACTCCTTTGGTTGTGGTATGGTTTGAATGTATACCTCCAAAATTCACATATTGAAATACTAACCCCCAAGGTGATAGTATTAGGAGGTGGGGCCTTTGGGAGTTAAGTCATGAGGGTGTAGCCCTCATGAATGGGATTAGTACTCTTAGAAAAGGGACCCCAGAGAGGTCTCTTTCCACCATGTAAGGATAAAAGTACAAGGAGAAGATGGTAGTCTGCAAACTGGAAAAGGGCCCTCCTCAGAACCTGACCATCTTGGCACCTTGATCTCAGACTTCCATCTTCCAGAACTGTGGGAAATAAATTTCTTTTATAAACACTCAGTCAATGCTACTTTATTATAGCAGCCTGAATGGATTAAGACAGGTGGTCTGGTTTAAAGTGATGTGTTGGCATCAGAAGTTTAAGGAGAGACTGGATTCACAGAACCAGAATCTGGGATGCTGTTTACAGAGCAAGTATTTCCTGCATTTGGACACTGTCGGCAGGTCGATTCAGAAGACAGACGAAAACTTTATCACCGGGCAGCCTGGATGAACACCACAACTTTGAGATCTTTCACTTAAAGGGAAGATAAGGGCATCCACTATTTCTACACCTGGCTGGCGGAGTGAGAACTCACCAAGGGTAAGTCTCTTTGGAGCAGCAAAATGCTCCATAATTTACCTCTTAAAATTTTAAACTAGTATTTCTTCCTTACTCCCTTCTGTCTCGTATTGTATCTCCATGTAACTAGTCAAAAGTTCAGCTCCCAGCTGGGTGAGGTGGCATGTGCCTGTAGTCTCAGCCACTCAGGAAGCTGAGGTGGGAGAAGTGCTTGAACCTAGGAATTCATCTTCAGCCAGGGCAGTGTAGTGAGACCTCATCTCTAAAGAAAAAACAAAAGACGAAAAAAGTTCAGCTTTCTAATGTGAGGAAGAATATCATATTCATTCACATTTGTCTTTGTCATCTCATCACCAAGCCTAGCACTTGGCATATAGTATATGATCAATAAATATTTGTTTTGGATGTTGGATTTATGTAAATTACCATTGTGATCTGAATATATAGTAATTTAATTGCCCTTTAAAATGTTTTTTTCTGTAATTAATTTTGCTTATTTTTGCTCATCTGTTTTCCTTAGTAATTTAGTTTCAAACAGGTTTGTTTATTTAGCCATTTATCATATAATTATTAAGCATCTGTTGTATAGCAAGTGTTACATTGATACAGGTCATACATAGTTGAAAGAATTCAGCCCTTATCAGGGATGCAGAGTCCAGTGGGTAGGGAGACATCTGATGTGTAATTACAGAAGTGTGATGATGTGGTATTGCAAAGCCATACACAGATGCTCTGGTTGTGCACACCAGCTATGGAGTAGGAAACCTTTAGCTCCGGGAGGTGCCTGCAGTAGCACCCAGCACAGAAACAAAATGCCCCACTTTTCCTTTCCAGTGCTCCCTCCCAGGAGGTTTTATTCTGTATCCCATACGGGAGGAGAAATGGACATGGATAAGGGATGCTTGTCCACACCTCTGCTCCAGGGAAAGGACCATATCTCAGAATCTTTGAGTCTGATCAGTTCTTTCAGTCTACTCTCCTTGTCGTGTTATTTCATTTTCCAGTCTTGGCTTTTTTTTTTTTTTTTTTTTTTTCCTTTTTTGTTTTTTTTTTTTGAGACAGAGTTTTGCTCTTGCTGCCCAGGCTAGAGTGCAATGGCACCATCTCGGCTCACCGCAACCTTTGCCTTCCGGGTTTAAGCGATTCTCCTGCCTCAGTTTCCTGAGTAGCTGGGATTACAGGCATGTGCCACGACGCCCTGCTAACTTTGTATTTTTAGTAGTGACATGTTGGTCAGGATGGTCTCGAACTCCCGACCTCAGGTGATCTGCCCGCCTCGGTCTCCCAAAGTGCTGGAATTACAGGCGTGAGCCACCGTGCTGGCCAGCATCTTAACACCTTAATACCTCTTGTCGATCAACGTTACAAATGATTTGGTTTTTAAAAAAAAAAAAAAAAAATAACTCTTGTCATGTGTATTCAATATGCTTAGTTTATTCTGCCTCCTGCTTGATAATTGCTCTTCTTTGTCACTTCCTCCTCATATCTTGCAAACTGATCCCAATGAACTGTGCAGCTTAGATACATGCACTTTAATTTCAGGGGAGTGTGACCACACTGCTGGAGCACTGCCCTTTCCATGGGGGCTTCACAGTAATAACTCAAGATAACATGCCCTCTCTGCCTAGTTTAAGCAATATCTTGTCTTGAGACCACCGTGGAGTTCAGAGAAAGGAACTTTTGCAATCTTGGAGTAGAACTCCCCATCCAAAACCATGGAAAGAGGGGCTACGTCTTTCCCATAGATCACCATCTCTAGGAACACAGTGAGGGAATAGATGCTAAAGGTCAGTGTTAATGCCACTATGTGGAGGGAGCCAGCCTGACAACAGAGGCAGCTTAGCTGGATCCAGAGCTGAGAATGAGGTAGAGAGAGACACAGAGAGAGAGAGAGAGAGAGAGAGAGAGAGACAGAGACAGACAGGCACCTAGGTATGGTTGCAACTCTTGAACCTGTGGATGCAAATGTAATATTATACATTGAACTGAAAAATAGAGATGGTAAGGATTTCATGAGTATTTCTGTTATTGTATTAGAATTCCTTAATTACAGTGCTTGTAACTGGTATTCTAGATAAGTATGAGATACAGCAGATAAGCTTTCAAAGGTTTCATGCATAAACAATACATTTTATATTCCTGACTCGCTTTCCCCACTACACCTACGCTTTTATATTTGTTTCGTTAGCATTGAGTTTGTAAAGCTTGCAAACCAAACCATTCTTACTAATATAAGTGCTTTTTACATTTCACATGGCTGTTTTCCATTAGAAATATGCTATAAAAACTGACTGCTTAAAGGAACAGTGGGTAAATTCTTTCTAAATGTGATGATATATTTTCAAAAAATATGAATTTTATATATATACTATATTATATATATTACATTATTACATATTTCTGTTATACATATGTTTACATATTCATATAAAACAAAATAAGACTTTTCTTTGATAACATTTGTGTTTTAGTCTGTTCAGACTGCTATAACAAAATACCCAAAACTGGGTGGCTTATAAACAATAGAAATGTGTTTCTCACAGTTCTAGAAGATGAATGTTCCAAGATAAGTCACTAGCAGATGGTGTGTGTTGAGTCCCTATTTCCTAGTTCATAGATGACACCTTTTTGCCCTGTCCTCACATAGTGGAAGGGGCAAGGGAGCTCCACCCTCAGGACCTCCTCCCCTCCCAAACACCCCACATCTGAACACCATCACCGTGGGGGATAGGATTCAACAAATACATTTTGGGATGGAACACAAACATTCAGACCATAACAATCTGAAAACATAATTCAAAATAGCCATCCTTTAGAAGTATAATTTATTTATGACTCAGTATATCTGATAATATATGATAATCTTTAGGTCTTTTAACATGATGTTGAAACTAAGTATCAAACTATTTCTATTAAAGAGTAACATTTTAAAAATGTGACATTTATTTTATAAGCTTCATTTTAATTTAATATGTGAAGGGTTCCAAATGTAATATTATGCATTGAGCTGAAAAACAGAGATAGTAAAGCAGTTGAGCTTTCAGAGTTTTCATACTTAAATGATATATTTTATAGAAAACAGATTCAGATCCTTGATAGCCAAGTGGTGAGTATGTGGTAACAAATGTACACATAATCCTAAATAATTTTTGAAATCCCAATCAAAGAAAACCTGTATTCTCTGCTCTGTGTACTTCATTGCAAAGCAACTGTACAGTGAACATGGCTGCTAGGGGTCCACCAATTGTGCAGACATAAATACTCCTTTCTAGCCTTCAAATATTTTTGTTATCATGGAGCTGATTATTAAGGAAATAATATCATTATTAAGGAAATAATATCAATGTCAAATAAGTAACATTGTTGGGTGACAGGTGGACAGCTTCAGTGCCTTATGCTCCATCAATTCACCAAAATGCTGTGTTTTAATTTGGACTACAAGATCTAGTCATTATTGGTGCTATTATCAAAATAAACACCCTAACTACTAAAACATTTAATTATCTAATCACCTCATTTCAAAGAGACAAAATAAGGATTTTGGTCTATTCTTTGTTAGTAAAATGCCTTGCTTTCCTGAGTATCCACTCCTATTACTAGAATCTTATTATTAATATTTACTACACTTATTGCTGCCCACTCCTTGCCAGTCCTTTATAAACACTGTCTCCTATCACTTGTACAATGTCAAAAGATAGAAATATATGGGCCAGGCGCTGTGGCTCACGGTTGTAATCCTATCACTTTGGGAGGCCGAGGCAGGTGAATCACCTGAGGTTGGGAATTTGAGACCAGCCTGACCAACATGGAGAAACCCCATCTCTACTAAAAATACAAAATTAGCCGGGCATGGTGGCATGTGTCTATAATCCCAGCTACTCAGGAGGCTGAGGCAGGAGAATCTCTTGAACCCGGGAAGTGGAACTTGTGGTGAGCCGAGATGGCACCATTGCTCTCTAGCCTAGGCAACAAGAGTGAAACTCTGTCTCAAAAAAAAAAGGTAGAAATATATAATAGATGACCCCCCAAAAAAGAGAAATATATAATAGATTAAAGATTAAAGTTTAAGGTAACCTTTCTTTATCTTTGCAGAGGTTATAAAGCCAGGTTGCCCTGCTCTAAAGCCTGTGCACAAATTAGTGAAATACTAAGCTCTTATTATGTGCCAAGCTTTGTGTTACTTGGCTACTATAAGTCTCAGAATCTTTCTTCCTTTAATTCTTTCTAGGGTCAGAGTTTGTGATTGGTATTCATATTTGGATATTTATAATTTGAAAATGGTAAAAGTCTTAATAGATGTTATATATGAGTTTATTTATAGCATTTAAAGAACTTGTTCACGTCTTGAAAAGAAAAGTAAAGCAAGCCTAGCAATTAATCAAAACTACCCTTCTCTCTTGGTCATTTGCAGCAGTAACTCTTTTTTATGTCTCCTTTTCCTGGAAGCTATGTCATAAAGTAAGTGATTGTAAAACAAACATAATTTCCATTAGGAGCAATGTTATAAAAGGGGATTATGTTATTGGCTAAGGTCTTAACTACAAATAAATTATGTATCTATTCATTTGTCTTCACGCCTTTGCTGTCATTAGATAAACTTTTTGTCTAATATATGAAAAGAGCTGGGCTAGGCATTAAAAATATATTTTAAAAGAATCTTAAGATAAACTGTTCCTTTAGTTCACTGTATTTTCTTGCTCAAATGTCCTTTCACACTTCTGTGTCCCATTAAGCCCTAGTTTTTCTTCAAGGCCTGAATCAAACTCTACTTGTGGAGTTACAACCACCTCTGTTAATCTTTGCCATACCCTCATCTTTGTTACTATGTGTACATTATTGCTGTAGCATCTCTGACCGTTTATTTCAGTTACAAATATGCTTGCCACTGCTCTTTAGGTTCAGGGTTCATTTGGAGCAGGGACTATGACTTGTATTTTTTGGCTTTCTCCGGCACACAGAAGTTAGCTAAAGCATAGTAAATGAGTAAATGTTTATAATAAGAATCTTTAAACTGGGCTGGG